AAAAAAAAAAAAAAAAAAAAACAAATGACTTCTGTTTATATACTTCAACAATTGATTGGGCAACTTGAATTCCAAATTAATTCTACAACTTGTTCAAGTCCAATATACTTCAATAAATACCAAATAAATACCAAATGAGTCTTTTAAAAGCTTTCTAAAATCTCAAATAAATATAAAATGGAACTCGTAAAAACTTCATTGAGGAACTTGAAACCCGATTAAATTAAATTAATGCCCTTTCAAATTTCATAGCAAACATGATAAATATAATTCCTTATTAGATTAATTCTCTCTATAATAATACTTAATAACACGCTAATTATATCAAACTTCTTACTAATTTTTATTAAATTCCACTTTAATTACTATAAAATAATATGACTTTTACATCTACATATTTTTAAAGTTGAAAACAACTTATGTAAATACATAATCTGACTTCTATTTCAATTATATAATGTGTTTAGTGTAGATACAAATTCTATTATATTCAAAGTGGCACTTCGCAAATTGGTTCTTATTTACTCAATTATTCTTGGACTAAGGGAGTAATAATGACTAGGATGTAAATAATTCTAGATAAATGTATTTCTTAATAATGATTACTGAAATATCAAAAATTTTAAATAGCAACAAATTGTAGTACGTGTAACGAATGTGTATCAACTGTTACTTGATAATGACTATATCAACTTATAAGACCAATTTGAAAAGTACAGAATGAGTTCTAAATGAACCACCTAAGCATAAGCAGGAAGTAAGAACACTTACAAGGAACCTAAAAAAAACGAAGGAACCTATGCAAGAAACCTAAAACTGTTTTGACATTCTCTTTATCAAAAGTCTAAACTATATATCAAAAAATTATTAAATGGTAAAGTAAAAGCCCTTACATGCTTTCAATATATTCATTAAGAAAGAGAGGGAGAGGGAGAGGGAGAGGGAGAGGGAGAGAGAGAGAGAAATTAGGGTAAAAATGATATATAACAATAAATAGAAATGCAAGAAGTGACTAGTAAAGAATAATATTGAGAGAATAAGGAGAAGAGAAAAATTAATAACAAACAAATTATTAATATATATATATATAGAGAGAGAGAGAGAGAATGAGCGCGAATGTTGAGGAAACAGATAAATATACAATGTGAGAGAATAAGCTAAGAAATGGAATCCCAAGAAAAATTAATGAAAGGTGAAGCATAGGTAAGTGAAAAAAGCATCAACATGGAAAAAATGGTGTAAAAAAATAGATATATTTTGATACATAAAAAATTTAAAGGAATAACTAAAAAAGAAGGATAGAGATGAGAGGATAATGAGAGAAAGAATAATAACAAATAACTTAGTAATATAAAGAGGTAAAAGGAGGGAGATAATGTAGGCTTTATATCTTCGATTGGTTAAAACTTATAACTTTGTGAGTATGTTTATAAATTTATTGCAAATTACTACATTATTTATAATTTAAAGATATTTAAAGTTATTGTAATCTTGAGAAAACAAAAAATATCTAATGATAGATAGAGAGAGAAAATTGGATTAAAAAGATATATAATAATAGATGAAGATGCAAGGGGTAATTAAGTAAGAATACTATTAGGCGAGGATAAAGGGAAATAATAATAACAAACAAATTATTACTATAGAAAGGGAAAGGGCAGACAGAGTTTAAAGTGAGCAAGGATGAGAGGAGAAATTAAAAGATGGTGCCATAGGAAAAATTAATAAGTGTGAGAATAAGGGGAGAAAAAATAACAACAAACAAATTGTTAATATATATATAGAGCAAGAAAGGGAGGCCAAATATAGGTAGATAGATAACTATAATGCTAAAATATGTGAGTTTAATGGTGTCATAGGAAAAATTAATGAAAGGTGGAGTATAAGTAAATGAAAAGATAACACAAAAATAATGCTTATGAATTATGTCTTTTATGTTTTGACCTAAAACCTTCTAATGTAGGCATTTGAGAGAGAGGACACAAATTAGCCCCTCAACCTAAATCAGTAGCATACAACCCCCTAAACTCTTTGAGAGTGGCAAAAAACCCTTTATCTAATGCATTATAAAGCTTACCTTGCGTTCAAGGCAACAAAGACAGCTTATGAATTTGAGTACCAGCTTGTACAGGTAAATGTTGGACTTGTTGGAACTTAAGGTTGTAAACAAACTGTGCTTTTGAATAAAGGCAGAGAATGGAGACAGAGGTACTGGAGGCAAAGACAACGAAATGTAAATGAGTATTTTACAGTTGGCTGGGCACTGGAATGGTGGTCTCATTATTCAAGGCATAGAGATCAGGCCAGTTAGCAGTAAATAAATAATAAAATTTTGTTTCCATCAATGTGTTTACACCATAAATTGCAAAGTTGTCTGACGATAACACGTGTGACATTATTTGAACAAGTGGCTACTATTATGCCTCGTCAGATATGTTGCTGTTATGATCCAGAGAATGATAAACCACCCAGATGGACGCCACTTGAACTGTTATATTATATCTGTATATTTGATAACTATCTCCTAATTATCTGATGCTATTTGACTTAGTGGAGATATGAATTAATATCTGCAATATCCAGATGATTTCTAGCATCTGAAAATTTGCTAAGATACATGATTTTCATAGGAGACAAGTAGAACTACAGGGATAATTAATTCTTGTGGAAGTTTAAAAATATTGAAGCTAATGCTAAATGAAACAGTTAGTTCAGAGCATTCAGTTAGCAAGTTGCTAGAGGAGACAAACAAACTACATCTAGTTTGGAATGGTGTAGAAAATGTAATTGATGACTTAAATGAGGCAGGTTTTCAAGAACTATGTATGTGCAGGCAAGAAGAATCCTAGGAGATGGTGATGAGAAGTGCCCACAAGATAGGGAAGATGGCTGGTTTGAGGTAGAGTTAGGTGACTGGTTCAATTAAGGTAGCAAAGATGGCAAATTGACAATACATTTGTTTCGCAATAGTAGGTTAGCAAGATATAACAAAGCTTTTCTTTCACCTTGTATATTTTGTGCGTAGGAGAAAAATTGCTCCACATATGTTGTTACATTGCAGTTGCAATACACTAGTTTCATTTAAGATATCAGTTCTATAATTGCCATTTGAACAACGTGTGCCTAATCAGTGGAGTTAGCTACTAATCTTTCCCTCATTTTGAGTGTTTTCATTTGGAGTTTTTTTTTTTTTGGTATATTGGGCATTGTTTAAGTACTGATTAATCTAGAGGCTCTACCCTACATAGTCCTACCAAATCATTCCAAAGATCTTCATTTGGAGTTTTAATAGTATGACAAAAACATTGCATTTAAAAATTATGATTTTAACTCTGAGTTTTCTATTTGTAGCAAAGGAAGGGCCATCGAACTCATTTAGAAAGTTCATGATTAGAATTTTTATTGAAAAAAAAAAATCATGAATACTCAATTGGTATCAAAATTGAAAGAAATGGAAAATAAATTTAACAATATTAAAAAAACGTACTAGATTAGTCCGTGAGGGTTTTTGACTCCTCTCTTGGGGCTTCGTCGGAGCTTTTCCCGTTTGATGCCGAGGCTGTCTGGCCGGTCCGGTAATGTGGCTGTCGGAGAGGAACGTTCTCTACTGGATTTGATTGAGTTTGGGCTGCGTCCAGTGGTACCGATCTGTCGGTGTTTATGGTCGGGTTTCACCTGGGATTGCTTCTCGGCGGTGTGGACGCGTGGTTTTAAGTGGAGGACTGGGACTAAACCCGTTGACCCGGTCCTGGTCCGAACGATCCAGGTCTGAACTTGGGTTGGGTTTATGGGTCTGAGACTAGACTAGAGCTAGCTCGGAAGTTGGAAC